CCCTACAGTTGCACTGGCATGCAGAAGTTTACTACCTCTCAATACAGAGGCTCTATCTAGTCACTGTGGCTAGTAGCTGTTGGCAAACCTACTTTTGACGCATTTCCGAATCTTTTCAGGCCAATTAAAGTAGGAGGAAGTTTGTTCACTTACCATGAAATTCCTTTCTTGGAGGTTTTAGGGTAGGGCAGTCACAACCAATGAGAAGTAGCTCCTCCCTGGAGACAGTCAAGGTCATTATCCTTTTTGACAACTCCTAGGGGAAGGGCTTAGACTCCCAGACCAGTCCAGAAGCCATGTACTTCCCAATAACTATATAAAGCTTAAGAAAATATGTGGCAGGGTATAAGCTTTCGTGAGTTACTGCTCACTTCTTCAGATACCTGAATATCTGAATCCGAAGAACTGAGCAGTGACTCATGAAAGTTCATACCCTGCCACGTATTTTGTTAGTCTTTAAGGTGCTACTGGACTCTTGCTCTTTTCTACTGCTACAGACAGACTAACACGGCTACCCGTCTTGATAGATAAAGCTTACTAACTCCAACAGCCAATGATTAAATGAAACAACAAGAGAACAGGAGAAAAATAAGAACCCATGCTTCAAGATTCTCCCTCCAGGACTCTGACAGTAGGGAGGGCCTGACTGCCCTACCCTAGGACTATCAAGAAAGGAGCCTCATGGCAAGTGAACAAACTTTTCAATTTCCAGTGGTCCAGAGAGGGGCAGTCAACAATCAATGAGATATACAAAGTATATATTTGTATATCTAAGGCAGGCTACTTGAAGTCTAACCTGCCAAAATTTGTTGGAGGACTGTACTTCCAAAGGAGGCATCAATGGATGCGTCCATGTCAATGTAGCAGTAGCAGGTAAAGGTATGCACCGATTTACATGCAGCTGCCAGGAAGACCATCTCTAAGGTAGGAAACACCCTGTATGGATCAGAGGTAACCATTCCACTACGGTAATGAGCCATAACTTCCACTGGGGGTTCCAACTTCCTAGCTTTATAGGACAGAGCAATACAACCTCTTCACCTTTCCAGGGTAGACACCAAATCCAGGAACCTATAGAAGTCTACCTGAAGGAAATAAACGGGGAGTCAGACCTCCTCATGGCATTACTGTTCTCAATATAAACTCAAGGCCCTCTATGATATCCAAGCAACATCACTCCCTTTCCTATGGATGTTTGGGATTAGGGCAAAAGGAAGGCAAAACAATTTCCTCAATTTGTGGAAGCAGGGATTAACTTGGGAAATTCCATCGGCCGAAGTAATTTCCACAAAAATACAATTTTGAACTTGATTTCATTCAACAAAGTAATTAAAATCCTGTCAGCTTTGTTGAATGAAATCAAGTTCAAAATTGTATTAGCTTATTTCCCTAATAGCTTATTACCCTAAACTGCTGTCAGTAAGCCTCCAGGCTGTCCGCTTTAGCATGTCTGGTTGAGGATGGAATATGAGTTCCTGAGAGAGAAGGTGCCTCCCTCCTTGGAAGTCATGGCCCAGAGGACTACTGATCAAATCCTGGAAACATATCTGATAAGGCCAGAATGGTGCTACCAGGACCACCTGTCTGCCTCAGGAAGGATAACAGTGTTAAAAGTCAGGTATGCCACTGGAGCATTAACCCCTGGGAGCATGAAATGGTCATCTGCTTCTGGAACCAGGTAACAGGAATGTGAAATAATGGTGGTTGGGCTTGCGTCTTACAGGAGCCTCATATTTGGTCTTGATGACCTTGATGACAATCAATGGGAAAGGAAGACCTTGAGAAGAAGTTCCTGCAGGAGGAAAGGCCCTAGGTGATCCAGTGGGTCTACCTGGATTTGGTTCTTCTGACTCCTTCTTGCTGTGGAGAACCTTGGGAAGCAATTTAGAGAAAACCTGCTGCAGAAAGAGCTATGTTTGCATGGCTGTCACCAGAGGTTTCTCTTCCTCAGAGGAGAGGAGGAACTGGACTTCAGAATCTGGGTCCAATAAGAGACCATGTTCTCTACATCCTGCAGAAGAAAGAGACCTGTGCCCATGCAAATCCCTAGGGCCTGGAATGAAGGGCTAGGACAGGCATGTCTGGAAGACTGGGCACGTTTCTCCTCTTTACACCCTTGGCAGACCTGGAATCAGAGAGGGACCAGCTTTTGCTTCTAGATGCCTTTGGGCCCTCTGTATTGAATGCCCACCAGCACTGTACTTGTGGAGGTGCAAATTTCCTTCTGCATCTCTCTCTCAATCCAGGTAAAAAGATTAGAATGAATATTCTTGCCTGATAAATTGGGCACTTACAACTCCCCTGTTTGTCCTGTCTAGAGGGGTAGCAGCCCTGTTATCTGGAAGGAGAGGGGGAGGGGCTAAGCTGGAAAGGAAAAGGCCCTCTTTTGTCAGAGCCCTGTTGTGCACCAAAATCAGTCAGCCCAGCATGTTCCGACATCTTGCCTTGCTCCCTGTTGCCAGTCTATAGTCCCTGCTTACCTGTTCTGGAAGGTTATGACAAGAGGGATGTTCTGCCACAGGCTCCTAGAAACACAGGGCAATGCCGGAGGAACGGATAAAGCCCTGAAGCCTGCCCGTATGTCCCTAATTCCAGTGGAACAAGTGCAACCTTGTTGTGCCTTTTTCAGGTCCAGTGGGAAGTTGGGTGGGGTGCCAGAGGGAATGACAGGGAAAACTCCTGGGTGAAGCACAGAGTCTCCACCGCCTTCCCTCCTTCCCAGGAGCAGAACCCTGGAGGTGGGGGGGGATCTCGCCTCTACCGGACAATTCAATGCCTGCTCCCAGTTGAAAGGTACCCGTCACTGAGACCCTCAAATAAGACAAAAAGGGGGAGTCAGAAAACAGAAAAGGCTGTGGAGACAAGGAGTCACTGCATTCTTTATATTTCTTTGCACAGTCAACGATCATCTGTCTGCTAGCCACATAGGGCTAAAACTGAAGGAGAACTCCCTTCCACTGGGAGTCATTAAAAATGGCTAATGACACTGAGTGCTTCCTAGGAGGAGCTTCTTCCCACTGGTTGTGACTGCCCTACCCTGGACCACTGGAGAAAATACTTCCTTTAAAAAATATATTTTTATTGCTTTTATTTACTACATCCTAAGGGAAAGGAGCAAAGGAAGCTCTAAAACTAATACAGAAGCTAAATTAAGACAAGGATCATATTTCACAAATTACATTCCTATATATCAGACCTACAATAATAACAAAGGTACTACGTCAAGGTATTAATTTCTAGATTAAGCTGGCTCGAGTCTTTAATACAAATCTATAGGTGCTTTATAGTCAATTATGTTCTATTGAACTTCCAGTTTATTTTCCACGCTTTTTCTTCTTGTATTTCGTTTTAATTTTAAGTGGTTTGGGAACAGCTTCTCCTTTTTCTGAATCCGAGACCTCAGAGGTACTGCCAGAGCTACTTGATGTATTTTCTGATTCAGTCACTTTTATCATCTTCTTCGTTGTTGTCCTCAGTCTTTCTTTCATCTTTGTTCAGGTTTTGTTGCTGTTCCAAAACATTTTTCGCTTTCTGAACAGAGTCAATCTTGGTCCTTCTGGAAATGTCCATCTGTATGAAATTGAGTTATTATGAAGGACGAAAGTTAAGTCTTTGTAATGTCACCTTCACTTCCACACCACAAATGAAATATCCTTTAAAATTTTCACTTCTTTATCTTTTACTTTCAAGGTTTTCCCAGATGTAGCTTTCAAAACAGCTTCTCTGGTAGATCTCTTGGAGAATTTCACAAAGGTAGCTTATTTTTCTTGATGAAATCCAGAGGTCATTTCGGGGGGGATCGCGGGGGATCGCAGTTCCCCCGGGTGAGGTACGTGGGCCGGGGCACATGATGAAGCCCCGCCCCATGCTTCCGGCCGCCCCGCTTCCGGCCCTCATTCAGCCAGGAGGAGGCAGGAGAAGAGGGAGGGTAAGTTGCTTCCTCCCTGCCTCTCCCCACCCCTGCCTGCCTGGGGCCAGGGAGGGCCTCATCCATGGCCCATCGCTACCCGTTTACTACCGGGTTTTCCCCGGTGTCTTTTAACTCCGCTTCTGCTGTGAAGAATGAGTTATGCTAATGAGTTCCCCTAGCTCTTTTTCTACGAAACGACCCCTGATGAAATCTAATTAAGTCAGATAAGTCAGATCCATATTGTTTTGCAGTACATCTTGTTTACGTTCTGTAATTGGTACTAATGCTTAAAAGTTCTTTTAAATTTTCTCCTTATGGTTCTGGAATGCCCTGAAAGTGCAAGACATACATTGATCTTTCCATTTGGAGCTGCAACAGTTGACCTTTATCTGAGATTCTCTCTTTTTCCACTTCTTCCAGTTTCTGTTTAATATATTTTGTTTTTGTCTCAACTTTCTTAACGGCCTTCTCAGTATCATCTGCTCTTTTATCCATCCGTGTCAATTGCTTTTGGACTCCATCCAGCTTGCTGTTGATATTTGACATCTGCTCCAGCAGAGGGCGCAATGCCAGTGCCAGCATATTTGGAAAGTCAGCAGCTGCTTCCTGTGTCTGGGAAGTAGTCGTTGGTTGATTATTTCCTGTGAGAGGCTTCTTTTCCGGCGCCATTCTTCTCCCTCTACCAGACATTGTTTACACAAGGAGAAAGTTTTTAAAGTTAAAATGAAAGTTCTCCGATTTGAAAACGCTTTGGACTATTTTCGGTCTCGTTTGCTGTCTGTTACGGTCAGTTTCACTTTTTTCCTCCCAGTTTATCGTTCAGGAACCATTTAATTTCGTTGGGGGGGGATATCCCCAACTCCTCCCCTGCCCACCACTTATCTCATGAACTGCTGTCGTTCACCTTAAAGGCTCAGCCACTTCTAGAGGAGATAGTTTTATCGCCTTTAAGTTATTGTAGGAGCTCATTCACGCTGGATCACTTGTTCACTTCCTCTAGTAGCCAGCTCTAGTCGCCATGACGGCTTCGTGGCAGCAAGACTTCTCGGAGTAAGGAGAGCCCCAATACCTCGGCCGTCGCCTCAGAAGGGGCTCTCCTTGCACTCCAGGCCAGGAGTCCCCTACAAGGACTCTGGGGGGGCTCGGACCCATCTGGGACCCCTCCTGTCCGCCTCGGCACGTACCCATCAGAGCTTGATGGGACATGTCCAACCCGTGAGTCGCCAAAACCAGAAACCAATACTTCCTTTTATTAGTCCTGAATCTACAGGCCCTTCAACTTCATTTGATGCCTACAAATTCAGCTGTATCCAACTGTATCTTTGCCCTGAACATTTTTATTAACCTCTACCATATCCTCCCGCCAATCATCTTATCTAAACTGAAAAGTCCCAAATGTCTTAGTCTACTAAGTCTACTAAGTACGAAGAGCCAATTTGATGTAGTGGTTCAGAGCAGTGGGCTCTAATCTGGAGAACCGGGTTTGATTCGCCACTCCTCCTTATGAAGCCAGTGGGGTGACCTTGGATCAGACACAGTTCTATCAGAGCTGTTCTCTCAAGAGAAATTCTCATAGCTCTCTCAGCCCCACCTACCTCACAGGGTGTCTGTTGTGGGGAGAGGAAGGGAAGGTGATTGCAAGCCGCTCTGAGACTCCAAGTGAAGGGCAAGGTATAAATCCAACTCTTCTTCTTCTACTTACTCACAGGTAAAGTGTTCCAACCCCTTGATCATTTTGTTGTCCTTTGCTGCACCTTTTCCACTGCTACAATATCCTTTTTAGATACTGAGTATACAACTCTATAAAGTATTCCAAATGCAGATCCACCATAGCTTTATACAAGGTCATTATAATATTGGATATTTTGTTTGCAATCTCTTTCTTAACAATCTCCAAAACAGAATTTACCCTTTTCACTGCTGCTGCTCACTGAATAACATTTACATCAAGGTATCTGCCATAGCCCCATGATACCCTTCCTGTTCAGTCACTGATATATATCTGAAGATAGGGGTTTTTTTGTCTCAATGCTCATTACTTTACACTGCACTAAACCTCATTTGTAACACTGTCTCCCACTCACCCATTTTGGAAAATCCATCTCAAACTGGCTCTTTTTATTCCAAATAATTTTGCCACCTACCTGTTCACCCCAAATTCCAGATAATTTTCTAAGAGATTAACAACCATTGGTCCCAATATCAATTTTTGCGGAACCCCATCGCTTTTTTCTTGTCATTATGACAAATGGCCACTTACTCCTATAATCTGCTTCCTATTTAACTAGTTTCTAATCCACAAGACAAACTGTCCTCCAATCCTAAAACTGCTAAGTTTATTTAGTAGCCTTTGGTAAGGAATTTCTGAATCATCTTTTTTATTTTTTATTTTTTTGTAACAAGGACACAAAATAGATAGCCATGATAGCTAAATGGCACCTCTATATGCAGAGGCAGTATGCCTTTAAATAACTGTTGCTGAGGGTAATGGTAAAAGACAGTTGGCTTTCATACCCCACATGGGGTTTTCAAACAACATTTGGCTAGACACTGCTGAAAATAGGACAGTGGGGCCAGATAGACTCTGGGTCTGATCAAGTCTCCTTTAAAAAACCACATAAGATATGGCTTACTAACAGACTTCTACAATATTTTCTATGTCCACACCACATGAGATGACCATTTAAAGCATTTTTATACCACTTTCCTAAAGGTAAAGGTAAAGTTTCCCTTGCTCGAAAGCCAGTCGAGTCCGACTCTAGGGTTGCGGTGCTCATCTCCGTTTCAAAGCCGAAAAGCCAGCGCTGTCCGAAGACATTTCCGTGGTCATGTGGCTGGCATGACTAAACGCCAAGGCGCACGGAACGCTGTTACCTTCCCACCGAAGTGGTCCCTATTTATCTACTTGCAATTTCTTGCTTTCGAACTGCTAGGTTGGCAGGAGCTGGAACTAGAGACGGGAGCTCACTCCATCATGCGGCACACTCGGGTCTCGAACTGCTGAACTACCGACCTTCCACAGCCTGCAGTTCAGCGTCTTAACCACTTGAGCCACCGCAGCTCCATTACCACTTTCCTACTAAAGGCCATTTACAATGCAAAAGCATGGTTTGCAACAAAAAAGAAAAAGCACAGGAAAGTAAAGGACAATAAGTAAACTCCTTGCAAGTAGTAATTCCCCTCTTATGATGGAATTAATTTCTCTCACACCAGTAGATGTGATAAGGCCCCTGATGAACAAACCAGGAGAACAAATATAGTCCATGATACATTCAGCTATTAATCATTTTCTCAGCCCTATTAGACAGCAGTAATAATATAACAGGGGGCTGGGGGGGGGAATGGGAAGCGTGGTGGAGCAGCAGAGAGTGAGGAACCAAGCAGCTATCCAATTGTTTTCGATACAAAGAACTTCTTGGTATTCTAAACAGCTGTGGACAATCTTGAGTCTACAATAAATACAGTAAAAAAACTGATATTCCTCAAGTCTTGCTCTGACAGGAGCAAGACTCAGACGCAGGAAAAGGTAAGCATTTCTCCATACGCATAAAATTACTCACCATTAGGTCGAACTAGAAGCACAAGTTCCCCTGAGTGCCTCTCACAGCTAGCTTTAATAAACATGACAACTTGATCATGGGTATGTTCTGATATATCCCTGCCATTGATCAGCACTACCTGGTCTCCTTCATTCAAACGAGGAACACAAATGTCAGCCTGCAACATGAAATGTTTCATGAAAAAAGTGCTACAGAAAGGACTCTTCCCCCCCCCCACGCCGCTCTTATTTTTAAGTAAGTGCTTAAAGCAGCAGTTCCGAAACTTGGCCAGGAGCCAGAAGAGGGTCAGGGCTCTTCTACAGATGGGTTGCGATGCTAAGATGGCAAGACCAGGGTAACTGGGAAAGGAGCCTCTGGGGGGCTTGATGGAAAATTGGAGTTTGCATCTGCGGGTTCTACAAAACAGCCAATATTACTTTCAATGTTCCCTCTAAGCTCAGTTAGTGTGAGCTAGCTCACAGTTTTTTAGCCTCCAGCTCACACATTTTTGTCTTAGCTCAGGAAGGATGGCTCCAGAGCAAACCATTTATGCAGTAGCCAAATTGCTCACTCACAACTTTAATGCCAGGAGCATTAATTTTTGCTCACAAGACTCCACAGCTTAGAGGGAACATTGATTACTTTGTTGTTCATTAATGCTATATATTTACAAACACCAAGCATGAAAAATAAAATGAACTTTTTTGGTGTTCATTATTGAGTTTTATGTCAAGGAAGGGGGAAAATATCATCACGATATTTTTACATGGGTTCCGAAAAAGTAGTTTCAAAGTGGGGAACCATCGTCATAAAGAACCCACATCAGAGAGAAGAATCTGATATTAGTCCTCTCAAAATAATGTCACAAAATATGTCGCAGTTATAGAAGAAGACTTATATTATGGCTCCCATTGCATTATCCTGATAAGAGCTGATATCACAGATAATTTTCCCTTTATAATAATTAAACTATGCTGGCAGAAGAAAAACAAGGCAAACATGATCATTATCAAAAAGAAATGTCAGACAAAAATAATTTTCAAAGGTACATGATGCAGAGCTCTAAAATAGCACACACAGAAATGCAAAAGAAATATACCAAATTCATGTCATCTTAGCAAATAAAAAATTTAATTGTTAAAATTCACAACCTACTACTCTGCAACAATCTACTCTGCAACAATCTGAGCCTAATGAAAAGCTTTGTAATATAAGAATAAAATCTGTGGGAATGTGTTTGATTTCAATGGTTTTCCTTATATCAACAGCCATCAACGTTTTCTCCTTCAGCAATAAAGGTATAAAATCTTGACTTGTAACATGTAAGGCTCACAAATGATCACACAACAAGGCATCATTGGACACCAGCACCAAATATTGCTCTTGGTTCAAAGATTTCACCAGAATTAATTCAGATTCTGCCAGTGCTCACAACTATTGTTACTGACAAGAGAAGGCTTAGTTTTCAGTTACTGTATTTTAAGCCTTTTGTTTCCCATGGGGGGGCGGGGTTCATCTTCCACTCACATCCACTGATCCACTGAGTGTGAGAGGTGATTCACCGTGCACACCGGGAGAGTACTGCAAAAAGCATGCCAACTCATTTACCAGCATAGAGGAATGGCAGCAAAACTGAGCTGGAAGGACTTGCTGGCTAGCTTTAGGAATTGTACCTCCTTGGCCTGGCAAATGGTAACCAGTGGTAGGAAGAGATGGGATACATTTGGTCCTCTACTGACCCATGTTCTGTGCTCAGAACAGTAATCCACATCAGCTTTTGCTTCTTCCCATGCTTCAGAATAGAGCTGCCTAGTAGTTCAACTTTTTCCACCCAGGACAGCAAAACTCAAAAAGCAGTGGATTTTACAGCAGTTTAGCACAACTTGGGTTTGTGGACAAATTACATAGGGAAGGATAAAGAAAGTAGTTAATTTTCAATGGCCCTGCTGGACTATAGATGTAAAACCTTCTATTGGAGAAATGTGACTTCCTGCCCTTCAAAAACATTGTGAAGCGGGTGGGCAGTTTAACAGTACATCCCTAAGGAGAGTTACATCCTTCTAAGCCCACTGATTTTAATGGGTTTAGAAGAGTGTAAATCTTTTTAGGAATGCACTGCCAGCTGGTATATTTAACTCAGCCTTTTCCTAATAGTTTGACTCCTAGAGGGCGATTAAAAATGCCTTTTAAAATTTGAAACAGAATGATCCGATACTACTTGTGAACAGTCACAATGCAAAGAGGTGCAAAAAGTGAAAGAAATTATTTTCTTCTGTATTGGATATTGTTTATTTTATATTAATTGTTATGTAATAAACTTTATTTACACTGCTACGTTCTAAGGAGGGTTTGTTTTAAATTCAGGTGCATGATGCCGATCATCTGTTTTTATGTATGACCTTCTGTTTTTAGGGGGTAGTCTTACATTCAGGGTCATCTTCCCTTAGAGTAAATGCAGTATTTATGCTATAGACAAATTATTAGTTGGGCATATGAACACAACCACAGTAAAGGTAAAGGTTCCCTTGCTCGAAAGCCAGTCAAATCCGACTCTAGGGTTGCGGTGCTCATCTCCGTTTCAAAGCCGAAGAGCCAGCACTGTCCGAAGACGTTTCTGTGGTCATGTGGCCGGCATGACTAAACACCAAGGCGCACGGAACGCTGTTACCTTCCCACCGAAGTGGTCCCTATTTACCTACTTGCAATTTCTTGCTTTCGAACTGCTAGGTTGGCAGAAGCTGGAACTAGAGATGGGAGCTCACTCCATCATGCGGCACCGGGTCTCGAACTGCTGAACTACTGACCTTCCACAGCCTGCAGTTCAGCGTCTTAACCACTTGAGCCACCACAGTTCCCTCACAACCACAGTACTTCCAGGTTATTTCAAGATACCACCCAGCGATCTTCTTCTCATCCCCACACAACTACATCATCAACAATGCATTAATAGATTGTTCAAGGACTAGTCTACATTTTTTGAGTCCAGTGGCACCTTTAAGACCAACAAAGTTTTATTTCAGATATAAGCTTTCGTTTGTGAGCACACTTCTTCAGGTATCAGGTATCTGAAGAAGTGTGCTTGCACATGAAAGCTTATACCTTGAATAAAACTTTGTTGGTCTTAAAGGTGCCGCTGGACTCAAACTTTGTTTTACTGCTTCAGACCAACATGGCTACCCACCTTTGATCTATACTACATTTTGTAGAACTAAAAGACCAAAAAGAGAGAGGCGTTCATTATGAAGTATATTTCCCCCACAACTCTGTCCCTATAGAAGCTCCTTATGGGATACATATGGACAAAAAGCCATGTGAACTGGGAGGCTGCCTACAGAAGAGGGAGAAATAGCCCCTTTCTGATCCCAGCTGTTTGTCAGTGTGGGTCCCATAACTTTCAGTGTAATCTTTCAGTGGCTGAAATTGCTATTGTGACAAGAATGTGGGAAAAATCCATATCCACCAGTGCCTTCCACTGGCAGTTGGTTGGATCTAAACTCATGAATTCTTCTACAACAAAGTGCAAAAGATTTTGTCTTAGATTCCTGTTCTATGTATGGGAAATCCTTTGATCTAGTCAAGAGATAAGCAACTTAAATACTTTATTCATCAAGAGATAAGCAACTTAAATACTTTATCACCACAGGTATCTTTACAGACTTCTGATAACTTACTGGTGTTCCTGGAGCTACTCTGGACACTATGACGGGCATTTTCTGGTCATATCCACCCTTTAAAAGAGAGGGCAATAATCATTAAAGAACATAAAACACAGAAGTATATCCAAAAATAAGAAAGGGTTGGTTTTATTTGTACCTTTACATTGAAACCAAATCTTCCATTTTCATCAGGCCTCATTCTGATCAGAACAAGGTTATCATGAGGAATCCCACCATTGGGCTGAAAACAAGAACATAATATTGTTATTGCTTCTCTATTTTGAATTTCTTTAGAGAACTCCTCTCAAATCACAAGGTGGTCCTTAATTCCCCCCAGTCTATTACTGATTAGGTAATGAGCCTGAGGAACCAACAAGCAGCAGGAAGGCTACATTACTGGAAGACACGTTATGCATATGTGTAATTTTAATAAATTAACAAATTGCTTGTAGAGGACACTGACTTACAGTCACTGAGAATTTTTATTATAACCAAGCAAGCAAGTTTGAGGTAGCATCTTACTGTAGATTTTTCTGGAGATGACGAATCATATGTTTCATTTATATGGTTATCCAATTCTTGTTGTGAATGTGAATAATGAATTTGGTTCCAGCTGTTCTTTTTAGACTGTTTGGGTGGCAAAGCAGGAGGCTGCCCATCTACAGGGGTTTCTTGAGATCTATACAGAAAACAAACACAAAAGACAATTCTGAGATATATTTTGGAAGCTCTGAAGGCCATGATAAACAGAATCTGTCACTTAAGAAGCTCATAATCAAAACTGTAGAATTTTGGCATACGGAGTGGTGTACAGTACATATAGTGATCAATACGTTTCAGTGATCAACACAACATGGAAACTGCAGGCAGAACACTTAAAAGAAAACACTGAAGTGACATTTTTCTATGACTTACAAGCATTTTTAATTAAAAACTAGGAGATATTCCACAATAAATTCTAGTATAAAATGAAATTTCTTATACAATAGATTTAATTGTACCTTACTATAAAATTTAGGGACAATACAGGAGATGAAAAGGCCACAATAATACACTGGTTCTCTCAAAACATGGAATAGTCTGCACAGTAGAGAACAACATATGGCACTTACCATGAAGGGTCCTTCTCTTCTGAGGACAGGAGGACATCATTAGTGTTTCCCACCATCCAATCAAGGAGGCAGGAAATCAATTTCTTCCTCTTCCTGTGGAGTGGGAACATCCAAACCTCAGTTTGGGTATCTCCGAGCAGTCTCACTAGAAGAAAAGACTCTCACTCTCTGGTAGTCAACACTATTCAAGGATGTAGATGAACATAACAGTAACAGTTGAAAGAACAAGCATAGAGAGCAACCAGGATACAAGCATAATAAGATCAGGCAAGAATGACACAAGGGTAGCAGCAAAAAAAGGAAGAAACAGACTGAGGACCGGTGGCAATGCCTGTGGGAGGGGCAAGATGTCCTCCTGTCCCCAGAGGAGAAGGACCCTTCATGGTGAGTGCCAAAGTTCATTCTCCCTCTGAGGCAGAGGGCATCTTGGGTTCTCCCAAAGCAGTGAACATACTAGGGTGTGGCATCATTGTCTTCCTCAACCACATGCTGCAACACTTTTCTGCCGAATGCTGCATCTGCTGAGTCATACACATTCAGACTGTAATGCCAAACAAATGTTGAAATGGAAGACCACAAGGCTGCTCTGCAGACCTCTTCCACTGAAGCCTGTTTGGCGAACACCACATTGGTGGCTGTGCATCTTACAGAGTACACTGTTATACCCTTGGGAACGTCAACCTTGAGTGCTTTATATGCCTCTGAGATGCCTTGTCTGATGGCCTGGCTGATCTCTGCTTTAGACATTCATTTTCCCAAGTTGGGTGGAGAAATGCTGATGAATGTGGAGTCAGTCTCCCGAATTTGTTCCTTCCGTATCAGATAAGCTCTGAGCGCTCTTCTCACATCTAATGTGAGCCAGGATCACTCTCTGGGATGCAAAGGGTTTGGACAGAAGGATGGAAGAAATATTTCTTGTGCTCTGTGGAACCTGGAGGGAACCTTGGGTAGAAAGGTAGGATCCATCTGAAGGACCACTTTATCTTTGTGGAATACACGGAGCTCCAGCTTAGTGGACAAGGTGCTCAGTTCTGAATCCCATCTGCCCATTGTCACTGCAACCAGGAACAAAGTTTTTTAATCTCAAGCATCTCAATGGAATGTCCCTGAGAAGTTCAAAGGGGGCCTTCGTTTTAGTTAAGAGGACGGTGTGAAATCACCAGGTCGGGAACCTGTGTACCAGGGTGGCAAATGTAGGGTGGTTCCCCTCAAGAATCTGTGGATATGAGGATGAGTGGATAAACTGGACCCTTCTACCTGTGGAAGAACTGAAGCTAGAGCAGCAGCTTGCCTTCAAAATGTAGCTGGTTTCAGTTCAGACTTTAGGCCATCTTGTAGGAATTCTGGTATCGACTGGATCAGGGGTTATAATGGAACTATCACCTTTTTCCTTCATCACCTGTGAAAGGCCTTCCAGGAGGCATTGTATATCCTGGTAGTTGAGTCCTTCCTGGAGACCATTAGAATATCTGTTACTTCTGGAAAGTAGCCTAACTTCATGAATGTGCTCCATTCAACCTCCACACAGTCAGCTGCAGTCATTCTTGATGGGGGTGCCACAATGGTCCCTGGACCAGCATGTGTAGAGACAATGGGAGACAAAAGGGTGATGTGACTGACATCCACTGTAGGGTGGAGAACCAAGGCCACTGAGGCCACCAAGGTGCTACTACGAGGCCTTCCGCCTTCTGTTGGCTGATCCGTCTGAGTGTTGTTGTTGTTGTTATTATTATTATTATTATTATTTTCAATTTATATCCTGCCCTGGGTGGGTCACAACAATAAATTCCATTACAGTCTAATAGGAGTTTGGGGGTCTGCCCTACAATGGTTTTCCTCCTTTCTCCGCTATTGGGGACAAAGGGTGGAGCTTGGTGATGGAATATCCCCGTGGTACCCACTTGGTTGTGGAGTGCCACAAGGGGCAATTCTCTCGCCAATGTTATTCAATATCTATATGTACCCCTCGCCCAGTTGATCCAGGGGGTTGGGCTGGGATGTCATCAATGCGTCGACGACACCCAGCTCTATCTGTTGATGGAAGGCTGCCCAAACTCTGCCCCAGAATATCTGACTAGGGCATTGGAGGCTATGGCTGGATTGTTACAGCAGAACCAGTTGAAACTTATTCCCACTAAGATGGAGGTCTTGTACTTAAGTCGGGGGGTGGGGAGTTGAGTTGGAAATCAGGCTGACCACCTTGGATGGTGCATTACTTGTGCCAGCCCAGAGGGTGAGGAGCCTAGGGGTGGTCCTGGATTCTTGCTCTCCTTGGAGGCCCAGGTCACCACAGTTGCTAGGTCTGCCTTTTATCTCCTCCAGCAGATCCGGCAGCTGGCTCCATACCTCTCCCCCCAGGACTTGGCTACAGTGACCCATGCAATGGTCACTTCCAGGCTTGATTACTGTAACCCGCTTTACAGGGACTTGCCCTTGTGGTTGATTTGGAAACTCAAGCTGGTGCAAAATGCAGTGGAGTGCCTGTTGACTGCGTTGCCTGCGTAACCCGCTTTACAGGGACTTGCCCTTGTGGTTGATTTGGAAACTCAAGCTGGTGCAAAATGCAGTGGAGTGACTGTTGACTGCGTTGACTGCGTCTGGCTACTGATTGAGTACCGGATCCACTTCAAGGTGTTGGTACTGACCTTCAAAGCCTTGCGTGGCATGGGATCAACATACCTAAGGGACTACCTCTCCACATATGTACCCCAGAGAGCCTTGCGCTCTACTGAGCAAGATCTGCTGGTAGTCCCCAGCCCAAGGGACATCCGTTTAGCCTTGACCAGGGCCAGGGCTTTTTCTGCGCTGGCCCCAGCTGGGTGGAACATGCTCCCGTATGAGATCAGGGCCCTTCGGGAACTTTTAGCATTCTGCAGGAGCTGTAAAATGGAGTTGTTCCACCAGGCCTTTGGTTGAGGCAACGGGCATCCAGTAAAAAATCTCAGCTTCCCCTGCTGAAGACACCATCTCCATGCAGCCCAGATTGAACACTCAGAATCCAGCGGCACCAGTATCAGTGCAAATTAACTATTTATTATTATGTTTTCTGTTGACGAATGGCCTGACTCTTGCTGTGATCTGCCCTGAGCCCGTTCGTGGGGAGAGCGGACCATAAATTTGAGTAAATAAATAAATAAATAAAACAATACAATAAATAAACATCAAATATTAAATTAATACAATAAAACCTGTTAAAACAGTTAAAGTGTGCAATGCAGCAAATTTCGGTTTCTTCAGCCGGGAATGAATGGGCTGGAGCTGAGCCAGAAAGGTCTCATTAGTAGTAGCCTGCTACCACAGGAACAGGGAGGCCAGTTGGTAGATGCCCACTGCCTCAACCAAAGGCCTGGTGGAACAGCTCCATTCTGAAGGCCCTGTGGAACTAGAATAAGTCCCACAGGGCCCTGATCTCAGTCGGGAGCATGTTCCACCAGGCCAGGGCTGACTGAGGCTAGGCGAATGCCTTTTGGGCTGGGAATAACCAGCAGATGATTCTCCACAGAGCTCAAGGCTCTCCAGGGGCACATATGGGGAGAGGTGGCCGCTTAGATATGTTGGTCCCAGGACACATAAGGCTTTAAAGGTTAGCACCAACACCCTGAAGTGGATCCAGTACTCAATAGGTAGCCAGTGCACTTGGTGGAGCACTGGCTGGATGCGTGCCCGCACAGAAGTTGCAGTCAGCAGGCATTTGGACCAGCTGGAGTTTCTGAATCAGCCTCAAGGGTAAGCCTGCATACAGCAAATTACAGTAATCAAGCCTAGGTCACTATAGCCAGGTCCTGGGGAGAGAGGTAGGGAACCAGCTGCCTGATCTGCTGAAGGTGATAAAAGGCAGATCTTGTAACTGTGAAGATCTAGGCCTCCATAGAAAGTGAGGCATCCAAGGTCATCCCTAGGCTGCTCACCTTCTGAGCAACCACCAACAGTGCCCCGTCCAGGGCAGGGAGCCTGATTCCCAAATCCACACACACACACACCGCCACGCTAAGATCCAGGACCTCTCGATTTAGCTTCAACCGACTCTGTTGCAACCATCCAGCCACAGCCTCTAAAGCCCTGTCCAAGCTCTCTGGGGAAGAGTCTGGGTGGCCGTCCAACAGCAGATAGAGCTGGGTATCATCAGCGTACTGGTGACAACCCAGCCCAACCCCCCCCCCAACCAACTGGGCAACAGGACACATGTAGCTGTCAAGCAGCATTGGTGAGGAGATCACCCCCTGAAGCACTCCATATTCTAGTGAGTATTGTGGGGAGAACCCCTCACCTAGTGCCACCCTCTGTCCCTGACCATGGAGAAAGGAGGAAAACCATTGTAAGGTAGTCCCCTGAACTCCTATGTCAGCGAGGCAGTGGGTCATAAGCTCATAACCAACCGTATTGAACGCTACTGTTAGGTCTAATAACATCAGCAGCACCAACCCGCCTTGATCCAAGAGAGTCTCTGGAGGTCATATGTGAGGATGGGCGAGAAGCCATAGATGAGTCCTGGAGGCCATGCGGTACTCAGAGCATCAGTTGCCTCTGTCCGACAGTGAAGTAACCTTGGGAGTTGACGATTGCGGTG